TCATAAAATAAATTTCTATAAACTTGTTTTTCTTGCTTATAAAATATCTATTTAATGTATCTTTTTACTATAAATTTGGCAAAATGTCTTACAAGTTTTAGACCTTTTATATTATATTATTTTTGTTTATACCAATAATGTCTTAAATTAAAGATTTCGCTTAAAGAATAAAATTTAAAACTTATTGAAAATCTCCAGAGAGAGAGAGAGAGAAAGAGAGAGAGAGGGGAGTTGTGTGTGCTATTCGTACTTTTAATGTTTGATTTACTCAACGATACTTTTTCATTTGCTATTGATAAATATTATATTTTTTATATTGATATATAATACGTTGATTAATATATCTAATTGCAATTTAATTGATTTCTATAAAGGTTCTACATTGTATTTCGAAGATCTTAAAGATTATCTAAAAAAAAAGTAACTTTAATAAATTCAAGATTATTAAACATCTTTTAACGTCTTCGCTTCTCTTTTATGAGAATTTTTATCTAATGCGAAATCCCCTCACGTTTCCGTCACATCGTTAGATTAAATCTGCGAGACTCACGCAGTTGACGAAGACATTTGGGATGGACGGTTTCTTAATTAAGAAACTTAACTTGACCGTGGCTAAAGTCGCGGAAACATCGAGGCGGTGACAACTTGACGTTCCGCCATTGCTGAGGAATCTCGCCGCACGAATATAAATTCCTCTATTATCCAGTGATTAGTTCGTGAAGGGCTACACGACGCTTCCTGAATTGGCAAGCAACCTTTCAGATATTATTCTCAAAATGTTAAATGCTCTTAAATGATGTTGGATATAGCTTTTCTAAGCGAAGACACACAAGGTAGATAATTTTAGAGGGAGTATTCAAAAGAAATTCTTTGGTGAATTTAAAACTGAACTCTTTTTACAAAAATATGAAGAATTACCATCTGTAATAACTTTTTGATTTGTAATATGTTACATTATTACTCAAATTAGAGCATTTTGTAAATATTTTTATTAAAAAGAGTTCAACTCCAAGTTTGTCAAAGCATCCATGATTTGTTTGTAACATTTTTGTGAAACTTGTTTCGGAGAACTTTTAATAAATAAATTTTTATAACATTTATTGCTAAGACAGATTTTTTTAGCAAAAATTATATGCAGTGAATAAACGCAATAATGAATGGAATTATACATTATGTGAGTTGAGTTTTCTGTTTTAACAACTAATACTGTATTTTTTTTAAGTATAAAAAATACGAAAGGTATTCATAAGTGTTTCTTGATAAACAAAAATTTCTTATTTACGCATAGATGCCATGCATGCATATATATACCTACATATATGTATGTACTCATGTATAAGAATTAAGAAATCTTATTCATCAAAATACTATGAGTATCATTCTGGGATTCTTCTTTTTTCAATTAAAAGGGATATAAATAAAAAGTATGTTTTAACTTTGTTATGCTTTATTTATATCAAACATATATAGGTCTAATTCTTATTCTTATCCTTTTTATTATTTTTAAATTAGGTTGTATCTCTTTTCCATGTTTCCTCAAATGTTTATTGCATTATTATTTATAAAAGCATGTATATATGTATAAATGTATATAAATATGTGTAAATGTATGCGAATGTTAGTAGCGTATACTCAGGTCTAGGGGTTTACTATATCCAAATGACTGTATGAATTAAGGCCCTTGCACAATGCAAAATATAAGGAACAAGGAACAGATATTAGCGATTAAGGCTGCGGTCCACTTGACGCTACAAATGCTTTGAAGCGTTCTTCTTCTCCTTCTTTCTTCATTGAAAGAAAGAAGAAGAAGAATGCTTCGAAGCATTTGTAGCATCAAGTGGACCGCAGCCTAAGACTAAGAAATCAGGAATAAAACTAGATGCACAATGAAAAACACGGACAATACAAATAGGAAATAACACAGGCAATAGGTTTTTAACTTAACCCATCGGAAGCTGTGTATCAATGCTACACCAGCTTTATTTCTGATTCCTCAGTTCTAATCGCTAATATCTGTTCCTTGTTCCTTATATTTTTCATTGTGTGGTGGCCCTTAATCACCCCTACGAAACTGTCCACAGATTAGTTTGTGCTATACTGCTCCATCTAACAGGAATATTGTAATTAATGTTGGAAGTAACGTTACCCTCGGAGTTCCTACTGACCGAAATAAGATATTATGATACAAAGCTGAAAATCTATGGCAGGATTTCGCACATAATAACATAAAATAATTCTTAATATAAATAATTGTAGTTAAAATGTCTAATATTATTTAATATTAATACAATAATAATATAACAATAATAAAACATTTAATATTATTAATATATCATTTTAAAAAAATAATAATAAATGTATAATACAAGATTATGTAATAAATCACCCTGGCAAAGAAAGAATTATAATGTTATAAAATAATATTGTAATGCGCTGTAACATTAAATTATATCATTATTAAATTGAAACTGCCCATCGCACATGCAGCCTGTGTTTCATGCAAACTTATAGAACTAACAAATTGTAGAAGAAATTATTGTATTAAACTTATGAAAGAAGTCATCCTTTTTCTTTTATTGAGTGCATCAGATAAAATTGCAACTAAACCAATTGCACTAAAATCGACGATATTTTCTTTTACTAGCCATTATAATATTGATTCATCAAATAATTTCAACTTCTTGTGTTTCCAGTCATCCACATAGATAAAAAGTTAACACCATAATTAATCTCGTTGACCACGCTGTTCTACTTGCTGATACATATGGTTTCATGAATCTAATATCAATATTGTTAAAGACATTCTGTTGAATAATTGTTTTCCATTTAGTTTAGTTAATAAACATATCAATAACAGGTTAAAAGAACTTAGTAACCGGAGCAACACACCCCATAATAAATGCCACCGATGATTTCCACGACATTAAAAAATACATTAAAATCTCTTATGTCAAAGGCCACGAGAAAATTTGTCGTATTTGGCATTAATTTCGACGTTCTTTACACTGTTCCTGAAAAACTCTATTTTATCATAAAACGAGGAAAGGATGTGCTTGATAATGTTAGGAAGACTGAAATCGCACATAAGATCAACTGCAATGATTTCAATCCCTCTTACATAGGGCAAACCAAGATGAGACACTTGGAGACGCGTATTAAATGAACATCGGTCAGATATTAAGAAACACAAGAATAGCCAATCTGTTGTAAGTATATAGACACCGTCTGGCTCATTGGTCTGAGCCAGAAGTGTTATATAGTGAGAAACATTATTACAGAAAAAGAGAGATAGCAGAGATGTTTTTCATTAGGAGACACGGCGACACGATGTGTATATATCTACAACTCGAAAACGAGCTTCAATCTGTGTGGAGAATAGTTCTCGGAATAGTGTTCGTAAACAGCAAATATATGGAAAAAAAAGATATTAAAAAATTCAGAAAGCTATTGGAGAACATAAAATTCGAAGAGACAGGTTTAGAAGATTGAATTAATAAAAGGGCAATTCAAAAGAAAAAGAATTATAAAGAAAAGAAAAATGATGGGAAAAAATGATGGAACAAAGAATGTCTGAACAAAAAAAGAGAATTAATGAAAATATTCAGAAAAGTCATCGATATAATGCTCCTGAAGATATATGTATAACTCCTGAATCTCGAAACTGTTTTCTCGAATACATTATTCATGATTCTGTAAAATGCAATGTCAAATTTCAGTAAAAAATTAATTAACATTAAATCACTGTATTACCATGACAGTGATTTATCGCACGGTGATTTCGCGTAAAAAAAGCGCGCTGCGTATAAAAAACAGCACCGAGACCGCGTGCCAGTCCCAATATCATTTCCCGAAATATTTTAACATTTTCTAACAGATATTTCGTGCACATTTGAAAGAGTCTCGACGCCGATTGTCCCAATTCCTTCCGCGTTCATCACCGCGTTACTTTAATGACGATAATGTCCCAAGATGTCGGCAACTTGGCGCGATACTACGCGAGTCGAGCGGACGATTAAATAAAGACACGCAGTTAATCAAAGATACGTACGCTATTGAAATTAAATATCGTACGCGCAGCTATCGAATGGTATCGAACTTGTAAATTTCGCGAAAATAAAACTGCATTATTAATTTGCACGACGAAGATTTGTCATTACCGGCCGCTAACTTTACGCGACGCGAGATATAGGAGATTATGGCCTTCACGAACGGACGCCGATGTATCACGGCGTTTTGTAACTCGAATCACTCATCGATACGACAATATAACTCAGCCCTCTTTTTCCCTATCGGGAAGAGAATCGAAGATCAATCACACGACAATTCCGACACAGCGTTCATCAAAGCACGACACGAGATATAAAATAATGAATTCTAATGAATGAATTCGAGTCCAGAAATATGGTGGCCGGACGAGCGTCACGATTATCGCTCGCAAATATCACAACGTAAGCAAATTGTTCACAATTGCCGTATGTACGTATCTTCGCCTCGACGCCGACGGCTTCATCTCGAGCGAGTGATTCTCGCGCGATACGTTTATTCCGACAAGCACTTGATACATATATGTTGCACCCGTAAATTTTGTTGAACGCGTGTACGGCGCGTACTCGCATAGTCGCGTGGTTGATTTGTGCGGCCCGCGAAACGAGGAGCAGGAGTGCCAATCGCAGGAACGAGCCAATGAGCGCGTTCCGAATAACAAATAACACAACACGTGACGCACGGTGACGGGCGCGGTGGGCGCGCGGAGCGCGAACGCCGCGAACACTACCTGGTGCTGGTGCCTGTGCGAAATTCATCTGAAGAACGATAGTTGAGTGACTACCGCGGGTAACGGTACTCCGAGCGTTAACTTATCGGCAAAAACAATTTAAAATATTTTACCAAATAACAATAGAGAATATTGAGGATTTCGTGATTTAACCTGTTTATATTAAACATACACTTTACGTTGATTCGTGTAGGTTTTAATGTGCACCAGTGTGCACTGAGTGCATCGAGCATCCAATCGAATTTGCTATAATGCTACATATATCTAGTATCTATAGACTGTGAAACAAACGACAATCAGTCTAAAAATGGAGGTAGAACAAGAGGCAATGTAAGTAACGCTATTATATTTTATTAAATTATGTACTATATAAATGAAATAAGATCAAAATCTTTTTCAGTTCAATGGACTGTAAGGAGTGTAAGGCCCACGTCCTAGAAATAGCGGCCCTTAAAGCGGAAGTGCAAAATCTGCAACGGCAACTCGACGCCGCAGCAGCAGCCGCCGCCGCAGAAATGACTGCACCTCCAGTACCGCCAAGATTATCTCTGTCTTCGGGGTCACTGTCGCTGCCAGGGCAATCACCATCGGGACCACCATCATCGGGACCACAACCATCGGGGCCTCCACCATCGGGACCTCCACCACCACCACCGAGACCATCACCGCAGTCATCAAAATCACAACCGCCGCAGCTGCCGGGAGTGCCGGGACCATCGCAGCTAGAACCATTCCCGTCGCCAGGATCAACGCTGCCAACAAGACGTAAGTAGAAAAAATATATATTTTTTATAATACATTTGTGACGCACGAGTGATTACTAATTAATAATGTCGAATCAAATATTTGTATTTCTCTCGCATGTAGCAATAAATATTTTGTAATTACAATAATCTTTTATTTATTATAGCAAAACGATGGATGAAAGGGGGAAGGAATCTGCGCTATCGTGGACGCAGAGGTGGCAGGGGCATAAGGCCCATAATTATTAATTTTTATCCAAAGTAAGAAGAACATTTTTCAACAATTTTTTAAACGTAGCTTTAATTTTAGAGTTAATTTTAAACAATTTTTAAAATGATTTTGCAAGGTTTTAGAGACAATATAGAATGCTCGTTTTCGTGTATTAAAATGCAAATAACTTGCTTACGCGTTCCATTCAGTGTCTTTCTGATGTAACACATTTTGTTAAATCCTAAGGCACTGTTGCATTTTTTCTTTGATAGAAAAAGTTTTACTGATAATCTAAATAATCAGTGAGAAGAATGAATTTATTAATAAGTTGAAGTTTTTTTTATTTCTTTTTTTCAGGTGGGCAGAAAGTAAGGAACAATAAGGAAAACAGAAATTCAGGAATTCCAAGATGAAAGTTAACTATTAGGACTTAACTATTAGCTGGATATTTTCTATATAAAAGAAAGTAAAGATTGCTATATTGAAAAGGAGCGCAGGTTTTTTTTATATATATTGTATTTTTTATACATTGTAACCAATTCATAATTCTTAGTAAGTCTTTATTTAATCATTCAATTATGAGTTTTACTTTCGCATAATTATGATATTAGATTCCTAGTTTACACAGAGCATAAGTTACATTATATCTGTGTTATAATTTTATATTTAATAATGTAAATATTATAATATTACATTTACATTGCTGAAGAGTGCGAAATTATGACTGATGTAATATAACTAATCTTCTGTGTCGACTGGGTTATTATTAGACTGATATTGATTTAAAAATATTTTAATATTCTTTATTCTGATTATATATTACAAAAAACAAGTAAGCTTCGATTATTTTTATAAGTATTTTTTAAATGCCTATAAAATTAAAAATTATTTCTTAATTTTTTTATGTAAAGATTACAAGGATCTAATTGGTTAATGAAAAACATTGCGAGTGTAATAGGAGGAAATTTTTTATTTTTTTATTTAAAAAGCACTTGGTATAGTTTTACGTATTACTAAATTGCATAGATTAGCAATTGCAGTAATAATCTTCTCTAGCGCATGGCAGAGAAATTTACTTTGCGACCAATATAATGTTTTACATGACGTTTTTGTGCGTTTGGTTTTTACGATTAAAAATCTGTTGGAAGAAAATTTAAGGGACTATTACATTATTTTTTTTTTTTGTGAATTTGACAATTTGTATCGTACGTTATTTGTTTATACTTTATAATATCCAAATTTCTGTGAAAATAATGGTATTAGGCGAAAACAAAAGATAGATTATAAAACAAAATTATATTTGTATTCGATTTGGATGGTAGAGGAAGTAATAAAATAAAAGCTCAAAATGTATATATTCCAAGAAATTATTTAAAAGATTTATTGAGATTATTAATAAAAAAGATACCCATGTGAGAAGATATTTAAATATCATTTCTAGATCTGAAACCTTGTCTTCACTCAACATCTAGCTGTTCCAATTCGGCTGAAAGAAATTGATATCATAGTTTACATTTAAATTTAATAATTCTAAATGGTTTAATATAAAAACATTATATATATATATATATATATATATATATATATATATTATGTATATATGTACGCCGATGTGTCAATTTCACTTTACTTGTCAGTGTCAAACTTACGTCAAATTGTCAAATTTATGCGCGCCAGGAGACAGCGTTGCCAATTCTCTATTAACCTGTCATGATGCACGAATAGTTAGAGAGGTGCACGCTTTCAAATGTGTTCCGAACGCGTCCAATTTTCGATGTCAGGGGCCTGTTGCATATATGCAGTCGTGAGTCGCAAGAATTGACCAATCACAGTCGATTATTCTTCTCAAATTCGATTGTGATTGGTCCATTTCCTACGACTCACGACCCACGACTCGCATTGTAGACCCTACGCATAGAGGCGCTAGTGAACGGATTTCACTTAAAACGCAGCATGTCCACTCTCATAATAAAATACATACATCGTGAATATAACCTATAACCATAACCTAGTATTTGATATACTCACTGATTCACACGTGTTATATTGTGTTTATAACGGTTATTTATAATTGCAATAATATTCATTCTCATAGTTGGATCCTAATAAAATAAAATGCAGCACGACGATGTAAAACTCAAAATGCAATTTTTATTTTAACTATTTCTGATAATAATCATGATTTTTAATCGTAATTATCTTACAGGTTGTGTGGAGTGTTATCAATAAATCATTCTGTTCCTTCAAAGTCAAGTAAGTGCGTTCTTAACAAATAAAAACATAAAAAACAAACATGCAGAAGAATTGTAACAGCCTTAATCTTATTACAATAATTGTGACTTTTTTTTAGTACAAAGACACAGCGGTTCTGCAGAAATGAGTTCAATCTTACTGGTTTATGCAGTAGAGCTGCGTGTCCTCTTGCAAACAGTCAATATGCTACGATTCGAGAGGAAAATGGTATTATTTATCTGTACATGAGAACAGCAGAAAGGTAAGTTATACATATGATTTGCAGTTAAGCTCTGAATCCTATACAAAGGTACAGGCAATAGGAACAGGGAATAAACCAGGCAACAGAAAGAACTACATTTCAACTTATAATAAAACGCGCCAGAAATTCTGTTCCTATTGTCTATTTCATTCATATTCCCTTGCGTCAATATAGTTTTTGATAAGTTGAAATGGTGTTATTTCTGTTGCCTATCTTATTCCCTGTTCCTATTATTTGCACCTTTGTATTGTGTGATAGGCTTTATTAAGTAGCATTGGTGTATTATTTTTTATAACATTATTAGAATTATAAAGGACTCTGTAAGATAAAAGTTCCAATATTTGGACACTTAAGAGTAGATAAATGTACCAATGCCTGGACATATACCTATGTCTAGATACCTTTAAAAAAATATAAATTTGTGGAAATAAACGTTTGGATACTATAACTATAACTAAAGTTTTAAATTACAAGAAAAATATTTTTATCTTTGATTTTAATTTGCTTTATACTCATAAATAATAAAGGTAGCCAGATATAGGTATAGGTACATGTCCGGGTATTGGTACTTTTACTTTAACAGTCTATATGGAAATGGGTTTCCGGTCAAATTGGCTGAAATTTTGATATGATGTAGGTTTTGACTCACTGATCAAAAGTCTCAATGGTCACCCGACCAAAAAATCAGAACTTTTTAAGTTACGGTGAAGTAACTTCACTCAAATGTTCAAAATTGGCCTCCATCATCAGCTGGTACGACAACCGTTGCTCGGCTCTCACGACGTGGATGTGATGATAGGCACTTGAGATTTAATGTGTTTCATCCCTTTGAAAATCTCCATTCACATTTTTATTTATGCTTACCCACCCACACGAATACATATATACACGAACACAACACACATTTATACACATACCGGCTGATGATGGAGGTCAATTTTGGACATTTCAGCTGCTGTAACTCAAAAACTTTTGATTTTCTGGCCTGATGACCATGGAGACTTTTGATTAGTGAGTCAAAACTTACATCATATCAAAATTTTAGCCAATTTGACTGGGACCCCATTTCCATAAGGACTATTGCGGGGTTCTTTTTTAAAACCGTAAAGAATTTGGATCAGTTTCAATCCAGACAGATAATTCTAGCATCTATGATATAAGTTTTTACCCTTTCACCTATGCATATACAATATTTTTACACATATATTAATATATATTAATTTAAATGTTAATAAACTTGATTTTAGGATACATACACCTAAAAATAGTTGGGAGAAGGTCAAACTGTCTAGGAATTTTGAAAAGGCGATACAGCAAATTAATGAAAATCTACTTTACTGGCCTGGTTTTATAAAGGCAAAATGTAAGCAAAGATTTCTCAAAATCACGCAGTATCTTATTCGTATGAGAAAGTTTAGTTTAAGACGTCAGAAGAAAATTGTACCGCTTCAGAGGAAAATTGAAAGAAGAGAAAGGCGTAGGGAAGAAAAGGCTCTGATTGCTGCGAAATTAGAAAATGCAATTGAAAAACAGCTTATGGAAAGGCTGAAGAAGGGGATGGTAACATTGGATTTTATATTCATTTCTGTAAAAATTAGTTATGTGTGTGTTTGCAGAGATATCTATTTTCTTAATATTTCAGTACGAGGGTATTTACAATTTCCCGCAAAAAGTGTTTGATAAGGCTGTAGAGGCTGTTGAAATTGAAGGAGAAAGTGAGGCAGAAAGCGAACAGGAAGAAGAGCAGGAAAAAGAACTCGAGAAGGAGGTGGAGATGGAATTAGAAATGGATGAGAGAGAAACTGAGCAAGATGGTCCGGAATACGTTGAAGCTGATAGCGATGATGATGACTTCGAGGATGATGAGGATGACATTGAAGAGCTTTCTATGGTGAGTAATAAGACAATTATTCATTAACAATAAAATACAATTTCTGTACTTTAATAATATTTCTTTATAAATACACCTTATAAATATCGTGTAGGATGAAGATAGTGACTCTGGACAGAAGGAAGAAATTGAATTATCAGACAACTTTGAATCCGAACCTAGCGATATTGAGGTAAGAATTTTCCAGCTTAAAGTAGACGTATTACATTATATAAGTCCTGATATAAATTGCTTATTGTTGTAAATTGTTTCATTAGGATTTAATCAAGCCATCTACAAGCAAGAAGACAAAGGGATCAAAAGTTGTCAAAAAAGGAAAGAAACCGCGAGCGAGAGTGGAAATCGAATACGAAGTCGAAGAAGAAAGTCAACAGAATAAACGGACGCGTATATAGCAAAATTGTACTATATAAATATAGTTATCTTTATAATAAAGTTGCAAAACGCTTCACATACGTCGTTATCCAATATTTTAGTTGACAAAATAATCACAATATGATTACATCCTGGTAATATTTTAAACCATCAATACTTTGTATAGAAAAAAAGATCAACAGGATATTTTCGGTATCGACTGTTCATTCTTTAAGGAAACTTTGGCATTAAAAAATTGCGAAAATTTTCTCATAAATGTTTGCAAACTTACAAGATATTTGCGGATGCAAAGAATATTTATTTACATTTTATAAATGACGCAATTTAATCACTCACATATTGTAACAAAAGTCACGAATAAATTTGATAAAAAATTATAAACTAGTCTATTACTAAGTTTACGCGCGAGTGTTTTTTATTTCTGTAGTTAACTTACGATACGTACTCCGCGCAAACAATTGAATTGTCGTAAGTTACTGCAGAAGTAACGCTCGCGTAAACGTAGTAATTGACTACTTTGGTAGTTCTAGTGTTAAAAATCTAGTCGCTCCAAGAATGTTTATCTTTGGGTTTGTTATCTATCGTTGAACTGGCTGCACTAGTTCAGAGTTCATCTTTTCTATTCCACATTGGAAGTTCAGCAATAGAAAACAGGCTCTTTATATTTTACTCGCGTTTGGCGAGTAAAACTGTTCTCAGGTCGAACGTAATACGTTCAAAAGTTCCGCCTGTCCGGTCCGCCCGTAGGGCGAACTCGCGGGCCGGAAGCGCCATTCGCCAAAACGGGAGAGGCACGAGCCGCGAAGGCGCGAAGACAGTCATCTCATCTCATCAGTCTCATCAGGGCGATGGGGGGGAATTGGAACAGATGGAACATGGACATGGAACGTCTGTAGCAGACTGAGCCGAGCAGACGACGATACGATTCATCAATTCATACGATTAAAATCGTGACTGATCGTGACAAACGAGAAACGAGGGAGGCGGAGGAGAGGCGATCGCCACGGTTGTCCGTTGTCGAAAATCGAGGGAGGAAAACCTTCGACGAGTCCGCACTGTCCGCAGTGGCGCAGTCCGCCTGTCGCCGGTCGTCTGCGATCGAATTCACGAGTATCCGTCTCCGATAATAATCCAACTCGTCGCGAGTCGCAAGTCATTAGCGAATAGCGGGGCGTCAGGCGTCAGTGCCTTACTCCTCACTCTCCTCAGTCCGCAGTGTCTCGGCAGTCGGCAGTCGGCAATCTCGGCATTGCGCATTCGTCGGGGATCGTCACGCACGTTGACGTTCGACTCTCCGCTATCCGCTATCGTTCGCCTATATTGGGGCGGTTGGGGCTTGGGGCCACTCGCCACTCGCCACGGTACTCGGAGCTCGGAGCTCGGAACGGGTACTCGCTCACGAGGCGACCAGGACCAGGCCAGGAGTGTAGTGAACCGATCGCGATTTCGCCCTTTCGCCCGCTATTTATAGAGCGAATAGGTTATTCAATCAATCGCACAGGTGAGATGGGAGACGAGCGGTGCCGGAACGGTAGTAACGGTACGATGCGATAAACGACGCGAAATTAGCATTAAATTTACATGTTGGCGGTTGGCGTGTAATATCCACAACGTTTCATGTAACAATGTAACGCGATTCCAACTTCCAATCCATCCTGAAAGGATGGGGTAAGGGATGGGAGCCTGGGAGGGGAATGGGGAAGAGATACTGTCAAGTCGGGAGCGGAGCGCCGCGGCCGTCCGCCGTAGCGTGCGCGTGCGGTTTCCCTTGACTCGCGACTCGCGCGATGTATTCCGATGTAGATCTCACAGCTCTTATCGGGGCAATTTGCGGGCGATAAACTGGAGGCGGTGCGTAGCTATCAACGCGCTCGTTGCGCGAATTTATCTCTATCGAGGGTGGTTTCGCAATGCCCGCGGAGTGTGGAACGTGGAGCGTGTCGTCCCTCACTCGCAATTAGATGCTATGTTTTCGCTCGATATACGGTGCCAACTGCCAACTGCCAGTTCCTCCGGCAACGAGCTGCAACGAGCACCTCGATCACCGTGTGATCTCGAATGAGCGACTCAAGGACGTCGACGAGTTATAATCCATCATCTCTGTCTCACAGGGATGTCCGAGGAGCGTCGAATGAGTCCGCACGGTCGGAGAGCAACATGAATCTGTACTGCACAATTGTCTGACTGGGATCTACTCTGAGTTATCGTCTCTGTTGGCGTTGGCTTTGCGCACAAGTGCCAGGATGTTGAGCGACGCTGCCAATATGGAACTAAATAATGTTGGAAGCAACAAAAGTTTCGTATATCTCGCCCTGTCATTCCGAAAGCTGTGCATGGCGACAGTTGGCTTACCACTTGTATCACTGCTGTTCTGCTTCATCACGGCATATATATTTCAACAGGACGATATTCACGAAACTCATTGTAGGGTAAGCGAAAGCTTCATATTAGTCATCGTTGTATTACAAGCATAGCCAACTTGGGCGCTTGCACTAGTGCACACTGAGTGTGCCCTAAGGCTCTTGTTTATAATCTATTCTTATATTTTAAGTCGCTTAAATACACATTTGAAAACTTTTTTAGCCAATAAAACAATCCTGTAATATCTGTATGGATGCTGTACAAATGATTTTACTGGCTAAGAAGTATTTCAGCAAGTATTTAAAATGATCTGTAAATATAAGAATTGACTAAGAACCAGCCTTACTGCACACTCACTTGTCAGTGTGCACTAGTGCAAGCGCCCGAATTCGATATTGGTTTAAACAAGATTTGCGCCATAAATTATGTCTGTTTTTGTTGAAGGTCTATAATATTCTTCCATCGATCTCAGCCATTACTGGAGTATCACCGCAGAGGTATCTATGGCGTATCAGCATAGCGTTACATATTGGTCCTAGACTGGTTATCGCCAATGTTTATCACTCGTATTATTACAAGATACTTAAGAACATTGAAGATGTGCCTCTAAAAATTATGGGGAGCAGACTCCTAAACCTATGTTACTGGCTAAACATTGCCGAGGTAGCAGCTTTGTGTGGTGTAACGTATATTTCTAACAGAGAAAATTACCGTAAGTAACTCATAATTTTATGTATCGCTAACGTGTAATCGAAGAATGGAACTTTTAATATAAACGATGTAAAAAATATTTCAGCGGTGCATGAAAAAATTTTCATAGTGTTCATGATTAGCTCGCTCACGTATAAGCTGACCGCTGTGAGACTGGGTCGTCTAATAACTCCAAATGCACAAAGTCTTCAGTACAAACAAGCGCTCTTTGTGACGAGTCTCGTCAGTACCATCGGTCTTATTATTTTCTTCTTGAAACATCGACTGCTGTGTCACGACTTGGGTAAGAAACACAATTTACAAGCGTTATATTCATTACAGCTTAAAAGTAAACGTAATAAAAAATAATATTTGTTATAATTTTGAGCAGCATTTAGTTGGTTTTCGCTATGTGAGTACGTGATAGCTTTTGCAAATATGGGCTTTCACATCACCGTGGTTTTGGACTTTCCAAAAGAGCAACTGGTCGTAGGTCACGGTTTACCTATTGTGAAAATAGATTAATCTTTTACGTCATTCTCATCGTCATATTAAAGTGCCTATTGCCTCTGCATGGAAGTGCTACAAATCGTGGTTTTTAAGAGGTAAAAGTTTGGCACGGCACATGATGCACAATTTGTGTACGATTGTCTCAGTTTTATGATACTACGTATTTACGATATTACACTCTTGAGTTTTCCACTTTTGAGATTAATATTATTTGCTTCCCGCGATATTTAAGAAATCGACACCATTTTTATCTTTACTTTTATACTGACTTTGATATTCGACCAATAATTTCGAATGCAAAAATATATGCGATTTAAGAAATGAAGATAAAGAATATTTAGCGCTTCCAAAGTGTGGCATTGGTTACTTTCAAAGCGAAATATGTAACGGCCTTTTAATATCGTTTAATAATAGAGTATGATCGTAGTAAACGATAGTTGAAAAAAGTATCCTACATACAAACAGCATTTATCGTTAAACGTAAATTAAATATTATTACTCGCATCGTATGAGATTACTTGTGAAGACTTTTTAAACAGATTCTTCTTTTATAGAGATTTTTGCAAGGTGAGAATTCTAGTCGAATACTTTAATTCTAGTCGCGATCTTTTATTCGCTTTATGGTACTCCTATTTTATCTCATAAGTTGAAATTAGTCTATAAGATACATTTATGTCAAATGGACTTTGAGACATTATAATCGTTAGTTCATTAAATGAACGTATACAATTTCAGATTATTGCAAAGATATTGTTGCGTCTTGTTGACAAATCTTACAATGAACATTGTATATGTAATATGTTAATACTCATTCACCTTGTAAGAGATTAATTCATCTTGTATAGATTTTGAGATAATAAATTCAGCTAATATTCACGGGCCGCTCTATTCGGCGTTACAGTAACTACAAACGTAGGATAATCGCTCCTATGTTTGTATGTAGTATACGATAGTTTAATAATATAACAATAATTATCGAGACACTGACGATTAAAGCAGTCATAATCGTATTACACAAGAAAACGTGTAAACGAGGATTGCATTTGGACCAGCGTGCGTTCAAGATAAGATCACACTATCTAAATATCTCACGCGAATTTATAAGACAAATGTTAAAAGAGTTTCTATCGAATTTCATGACTGAAATTTCCCCATTCATTTCTTGTTTGATACATAGACATATATACGATTTTTGGAAAACAACAAGCAAAATTAGTCAAATGTACACAATCACCGGATTATTTAATAGAAAGAGACAGAATTAGTATCTCTTATGGAAAAACACGGCATCGAGATTTTTATGAAACTTTTATCTCTAACAATATATTTTAAATTGTTCTTAGCTAAATGTTATTAAATATTAATACTTTGTTAATACTTTGTTAAAAATTACATTTTTTATGTAATTATTCTATGCACTTTCTTATAAATTCCTGAAGAAATTTAAAGTAATTACGAATTGATGGAGAGAGGTTGAATTTTAATAGCAATCTTTGACAAAGCAAAATGGCTTGTAAGATTTTACAAAAATACGTGTTTTATTTCAAATATTGTTAGAAATTATACGGTGAGATTTTATATTTTATAAGTGTTTTCCGGAAATCTTATATATGTTTATCTGTTAAGAAAGTTTCATGATCAAAAGATCGAGACGAAATTGCATGTGTGTGGGAATAGACTGGTAAGGAACGATGACCGAGACTGCAATACTGTGAAACGCGCAATATCTCTTGATATTGCACTAATAAAATAAACAACGTAATGTTTATTGTAATAAGCAGATGGTACGTTATCGCAATGTGTCTCTTAGGATTTTGTTGTAGAAGGCCGATAGTGTCAGTGTGACCCTAGATAGCACTCGCAGTTAAACGATATCATTTTTGCACATTTTTACACACGGACATTGTAATTGTAGCATATTTTGATATGACGATTTTTTGTTAAGATTTCTCGTGTATCATTATTGAAAAAAGGGAAAAAGATGAATAGTCAGTGCATATTTATCGCCAGTTTTTTCGCAAGTATATATATTTGTCGTGGGTAATCATGCGGAGATATGCTAGTAGCTTTAGATGATTTTTGTAATTATCACGAAGAAGTAGCGCTTTGTTTCTTCCGCACACACGGCGTACGCGATCACTCGAGCGTAACATCTCAGTTCCTATTATAATTGGAATCTCACTTTTATGTATTATCTTGATTTAAAAAAAAATAATAAATGCACTCGCGGCAATCGTGTTTAATTTACCGATACCGTTATCAGAGCCCGTGCCAAGTGATGCACTAAAGATATATCATGGAATTTTATTCGGTCGGTAACGCTATGCAAGTTAATGCACGTTAATGATCTTTAGGAATTTTTAATGAATCACTTGCGTCTTACGCTCCGTTGGCAATCGCTTTGCTCTCTAAATACATTTGCAGCAATGATTCGGAATTTTTTTTGTATTATATATTATAGATATTTTTCATTCTCGCTAAGGAACGAGAATTGAAGAGCATCAATATGACTAGATCGATTATAGCGGAACGCGTTTATTCTAACGGATCATGAACTTACGTTAGTAAATTGCGTTAGTAAATTGCACATTTTTTTATAAATTCCTGAAGAAATTTAAAGTAATTTTTACTTTTTGATAAAAATAATATAATTGTAAAATTAAACGTGAACTAAGTTGTAGCTCTCTATACTTATTATTTCCATCTCTAAAATTTTACTGATTTAAATGAGATATTTTACAATTACACATTAATTTATTCTCTTTGAAAAGTTATCTTCAAATTCCTCAGAAAATCTGTTATTCAAAAAAGATACGCGCAATTAATGAAGCATCCTGTATGTGTTTTAGTTGAATAACGAACGACGCAAGTTACATTGTGAGAGTGTAGTTGTATGAGAGAATACCGAATTTCTTTTATATACATATATGTAAGTAGAGATTAATAGTATGTATAAAAGAGTTTTTAGAAATATAGCATTAACTTACAGAAATGAGTTCAAAAATTACTACGAAGCGAAAAATTCAAGTTTTACTTGCGTTAATTTTTCGTTTGGCGAAAGATTTAAAAGTTATGTGTTATGTGTTAGAAAACACGAAAAGGGTACAACTGATATTAATTTTAAAAGCGTTAATATTGTAAAATGTTCCATCATACTTCCAAAGAAAACTGTGCTAAACATTTATTTAGCAAATATCTTTTTGTTGTGATTACGCCTCGTAATCGTTGTGCGATTTATTGATAGGTACTCATAAATTTATCGTTAAGGTATTAACACATCCTCAGAGTGATTTGAGGAAACTAAGATTAAATGCTGTAACTGTAAAGTGTAAGGGAAAGGGAAAATTATTCGTCGTTATCTCCTCTGAAAATATTGTTTTCTTTTCCGTAAGACGAGCACGCACTTACGGCAGAAGCGTTTAAGGGTAAAAGTTCTGGAAACATATTTAAAAATTTCGTCATATGAATTTTTATATTGGCGATAATGATGACTAAACATATCTGTCAAGAATTTCTATCGTACTTGAAGCTCTCTTCTTTCGCTGTAAATAATGCTAGCACGATAGTTATCTTGTGTATAAACGACAGAGTATATGTCGACGGCATATTAAAGCAAACAGTATGATGATTCACCCTTGGTTGATACGACAATTTAAACATACAAGCTTGAAACGAAATCTTTACACAAATACTCACTGTCGAGTTGCAGCCATTTCTTTCTGCAAAACTCGTATTTTTCGAAATAAATTTGCTACTGAAACATTTTTTTTTCAATTTACAATATATGTATATCGAAATTATATCGATGAAGTGCTACGATCTCACGAAGGAACTGCTCGTGTGTTCCCGGTGTATTATTTGCGTAATTGACAATTCTGTGATAATAAGCACAAAGCAATGTTGCTATATTCCATTTCACAGTTATAGGTTTTGCTTATTTATATTATAAATAAATCTGTCCTGAATACTATTACTCCATTTTCCTCCAAACTATGTATATACTCTGCTTGTATTTAAGCATGCCAAAAATTTCAATTGTATATTATCACAGAATTTATTTTCTCTGTTCTTATATTTAAATTGAAGAGTGAATTTCTATAGTTATGAATTATTATTGAAGTAAAGAATGAATTAATGAAATAAATAGCAGTGAGTCTCTGATTTATTAGTTTTATAAGTTTTACAATCTATTATTAATTCCCCTAATCTGTTTGATTGAAATTTTATCAATAGAGATATTATTGAATATAGTTTGCACCACATTATATCATTATGTGTTTCAGTTATTTCGCATATGTGTATATACGTTGTACTCGCGACAAATTTCGAGATCCAACTTGAAAATTTCCAAAATTTCCGCAGTGTCGAAAGCAAGCTTACACCCAACGTTTCCGATATCTCCTTATTCATCTCTGCCACAGTCCCGTGTACTATAAATCAGAGTGAGAGCAATCGAGCCTCGAATCCAACTGAAACCTGCAGCATTGCCGAAGGTAATTGAACTCTGTTGACCTTAATGCAAGGGAATAAACGAGCGCGATTAAATGGCTATCGTGTGACACGAACGAGAACTTTCGTCGTCCTCTCGCGTAACCAAATTTAACAGTCACTTTCTTCGGCCGTGCTTAAGATTGGACAAAGGCGAACATTATACGAACATTCTGTTCACATGGCTACTGATTTTATGTCACTATATGAAATAACTGTACTTTCCTACACATACATATAATATAATACATACGCACACGCACATAAACACAATTGGTCGAGCCATCATCCGGTGTAATGTATTTCCGATGAGCATTGCGACCACTTTGTAACATAGTGTATATTTCTCGTAATCAGTTTAGGGCGGTTGCCTTATACGGTGATTAAAAGTGTATTTATGTGTATGTGATGACTTGTAACAGACTTGTTACGACACACTGATTTCGATCAGGGCAAGAATGATTTCTATTTGTAACGAATGATTGTCAAATAAAAACTATCGTGTACAACCAACACAATCTGCTCTTATGAAATTTCTCTAAATTTACTAAATTATCTAAATCACTAAATAAACAATATATATTTTTTAAGAATTGAAACATATAATTTTGATAATTTCAAATATTTAATATTTAATTAAATATTTAATGTATTAAATAATCTTTATATGTATATTTTAGCGATAATACAAATGCAATAATATAATATACATTTGTTTGTACTTTATCGTAGGTTATTATTTTCAAAATAATATCCGTTTTATTTCTCATTTTTATCTAACTATTATTCTGTGTAGAGTTATGTAAATTTTGACACACATGCTACTTAAAAATAAAATGTTATTTAACTCAAGGTATTGATTAAAATTTTACCTTTTAATATTTAACAGGGTAGACCCAATTCTTTTTCGCGAATATGTGAAGAGTGATAGACTTCCATTTTTCTGCGAAACATTCGCTAAGTCCTTCGTAAATAATGGAGATCGTATAATTGTGTTTTCTATCGACGAATCTGTATACCTATATACAATATTTTTTTTATATGCTGATTTTTTTACGTCGAAAAGTTTGATCGAACTGGACAGGTGAGTTGAAACATTTATTTATGGTACTTAATGTCACTCGATTAAACAGGCTGGTCCGCTTTTACGTTAAAGCTCGCTTAATGACAACATGATTTTTATGTTATTTTTCAAGATTTTGTTACTGGAAATGTGTTGCTTAAACGCATTTAGTAAATGTAATCTTAAAATATTTTGTATCCAACATACTTACGTTTGTATAGGTTTTGTATTATTTTACATTTCGCAGTTCTTTTCGACTATATCTTTTTTGATAGCTTTAAAGCATAAAATTATGTATTTGAAATTAAACAAAAAATAATTCTTTAATTAACAAATAACTTTTTAATTCGAAATTGATTATAATTTATTTAAGGTTCATCGTTACTTCAAGACTGTAACAAACAGTATTTTAGTTTCTGTGGTCGAGAAAAGGTATAATGTGATATAAGTACACAAAATTTTCTCTCTCTCTCTCTCTCTCTCTTTCCTCCTGTCTCGCGCACAATATATTCAAATTCAGAAATATTACATCAAGACCTGTGACTAATGTAAAAAAGCAAGAAAAAATATCTTAAGGTCAATATTTGTCAGCGTTCTTCCCAAACCTTACCATTCATCCCAAACAAACCGTACCTTTTCCCAAGTACATTCTCAATCCGAAATGTTTGCATTCTCTTTGACCGTATCGCTATTTCGTCGAACTTTCCTACGGGTCCCTTTTTCATAATTTTAATCCTCGTAAGAGCTACCGAGCTACAGAGTTTCAACGCACCACGCACCGTCTGCACCGCTATACGAATCTAGGGTCGTAAACGCCCCTACGTTGCTAATCAGGGGCTGATGACACAACAGATGATAAGCTTCTTGATGCTTCTGGCACTCCAGCAAGATCAGGGATCCCAGTTTTGTGCCGTTACAGATTTTTTTCACACACCACAGATGTCACAACTTATTTAAGTCAACAGCGCAGCGGTTATTCTCGAAGGCAAATCGGTCACACGATTACATCAGTCTCGCGATTTCACGTTTGAGCTATAAATTATAAACTGATCGGGCTTAAATTGAAGAAAACCTTGCACACAGTCCCGTCGGCGAATCCTTCGTCGGGAATCGAAATTCTGGGAATGTCTTTCCCGTCCTCGCAGCAATCCTCGTAATAATCGACCTCGAACACTTTTACGTCGGACGTCCGATGATTCTCGATGCTCTCCGGTTCGTCAACTTCGAGAAGAGAAATGATCTCAGGATTGCCGTTCCAAATCTCGGTTTTTACCACGCTACGTCCTTGCGCTACGTGGTCGTGTCTCTTCGAGAATTGAATCGGAAGAGCGGATTCGTTGACGTTTTGCAAAAATCGTTTCGGCATTCTGGCGGCCAAAGTCTTTTCGATGCCGTGCTTTCTTTCGATGCAGGTGTCCAGCATCCGACGAAGCTTCTCCGCACTGTCTCGCTCGGTCGAGTGCAACAGCGCTAATGCGTCCAAGAGATCCTCGTCGATGTCGGACGTGCTCTTGTACATTCCTTCGAGGCTGGTATCTTCGGATTTTGTTTGATTGTCAAACGTAGAACGCCTTTCAGACATCCGTATACTGTCTTGCCGACACTACTAAATGTTTCACAGAATATGACATTTTACTAAATTGTAAACAGAAGATTTCTCCAAAGAAATAATATTCTAGACAAAATTAAAAGACCCCAAGACAGCATTGATATATTTTCAGTTAATGCCGCGGTAGGTTAAAATATGATTTGTAAAAACCAGAAGTATAGCTCGTGAAAAAAAACTTAAAGTTTTTTTATTTTGAAAAAAAGTAACAATCTGAGATAAGTAATATGCGGCGTGTCTTTTTTAAACTTGTCGAGATTCAGGTCAGATTTGACTTGGGTACGTAATAGCTAAGGGTTAAAGAACCTAGGACGCATTTCGAATGTTTTGGGTTTGGCATTGTTCGCTCACGTACTACGACGGCGACGATGCGAAACGGCGTTCTTGACGAATTAAGGGCCGGTCATGCACGAAGGAGTGTAGCGGCAAGTGGTCCCGCGGATTGGTAACAATTCTGGGAATTGTACGGACAGGGACGTTCTACGGGATTTAGATATGCGAATAGTATCCCGGGACGGACGTTCGCCGTGAAATGTGCCGAAGGAAGGTGGCCGGCATTTATCGGGCTCGATCATCGACTCGCCCGCTTGTATATCGACGGAATCGCATCGACGATGCACCATTGTTCTCGTGGCTGTTTGCTAATAGAATCCAGCGCTTATGATCGTTGTCCTCCGGGAGTCGGATACTGGACATTGAATATTCAACAAACGCATTTCAACGTTACCGGGCTAGCGACGTGAACGCGTAATGGACGCACGGTCCATTGCGATGACTCGTGTGTTGCGAGCGATCGCGCTATTTTTGCGTTACTTACGCTTACTTATGGGTAACGGGATAATTCTGTGAACTGCATGTTTTACGACTTGCCGCGGTTTACATACTTCCCTAAGGAACATTCACATTCATGAAAAACTTATAAAGAAATAGTTTTTTTTTGTATAAATATATTTTATTCAATTTCTATCGCTGTAATATTTATAGTGTATTTTTTAACTACTAATTATATAGATATAAGCTATAAATAAAATATTTCATTTAAAAATTAGTAATTGCAGACGTGACAAAAATATTTTTTACTTTAATAACCGAACGATTTAAAATGATATTCTTTTATTGCACGGCAATTTTTTCCTATTATTTAATTCTCATAGAATACGGATCGTTATCTCGGGATCAACCCTTTGTATACTATCTTGCGTATCCGTGTAACGCGTTTTTTCAAGGTTTTTGTCAACGGAGCCCCTACGTGCGTTTTTTCGTCGCGCTTTTTCGGGAATGGCGGCAGGCGGCACAGGGTGGAAGGATGGGCGAGCGGAAAAGCATCCAATTATCATGCCCGATGCCGAGGCTTCTCACCCTGCACAAGCTCGGTACCAGAATCGAATGGAATCCGGCCGGGAAGCCGGGCCCGGTAGACGTCGAACGAGTGGGATTATTCCGCGTCCGGGTTCGGAGCCGGGGAGCCGTGCGGGGGCGGGCCGAGGGAACAATGTCGGAAACGACGGGGACGGTATGCCGAGATATGCAGGATATCGCGCAGAACTGCGATCCTTCGAGGTCTGTGCGAGGAGAGCGAGAGAGCTATGAGGATACAGCAGTGGCGCAAGTATAGTGAGCCAGATATGTATGCCCCGCGGCGCCGCGCCGGGAGAGAGAGAGAGAGAGAGGGAGAATACGTCTCTAAGTGTATTATCTCTCCGAGGTGAAAGGGAGATAGATAGATAGATAGATAGATAGATAGAGAGAGAGAGAAAGGGCCGCGCGTACCGCCTAAATATGTAATAATATCTACGGGAGATACCGGCATTCCCCGACCTCGAGAAGAATTCGATCAAAATGTGTCGCGATACTCTCCCGGTATGCCAGGTGAGGTACGCGCTCACCTCCCTTCTCCTTTCACCCTCCACCCCTTCGGGAGCTTCCTGCCGCTTTTCGCCCCTTTCGACCCCTTTCACACCCGCCTTGCTTCGGCGCGTCTCCTCCGCGTCTTCTTCCGTCGTTGCTTTGTCCTCGTTTGCACACGATCGGATACAATAAGAGTAGACGTAGACGTTCTTGCGCATCCGAAGACCATATTCTATCCTCGTGTGTGAAATCTCGATCGAAGGGATAAAGGAGTGAAATATCAGAGACTTTACCACGATTCTTTCGACTTACAAATTTTTGTTATCAAACGGAGCCGATATTTTTTCAATTTACGAGAAATTTTTTTTCGTAAATTTTCCTTTGAAATTAATTTTTAAATTGTTCTATGCTTTCCAGTAATACCAACATTTTAACAATCTTAAAATCTGATAACGCGAGTCATATATAAAATAATATCGGAAATTGAAAGAGACTATTACAAATAATGGTTATATAATAATTACATAATTATCTCGTATTGAAAAGAATTATTTTTACAAACACTGAAGAATTTATTGGTTGAAAATTACGTAATAGCATCTTATATTGTGATTCTTACTCGTTCCTTAGTCCTTACTTTATTTTCGTCAATTACATCATATAAATTTATTTCTGCATGTTTGCGTGTCGTAACAGTAAATAAAATCACAAATTAAATTGATAAAGAAAAAGTAAGAGGAAAGGAGAGTAAGAGTCGGCGTATGATAAAAGTTGGTAGGAAATAAGGAAACGAATAATTTAGAGTCGCTTACCGCGAGGCGATTCTGTCTAAAGGAGAAAATCCTTATATTGCGCGAGCAGCGTCTCTGCTTTTAGGTGCAGCAGGAATTTTCGAATGCGCCATTCGCGTGATATTTTAATACTTTATACCTCACCGTCCTTGCGAGTAAATCTCTGCCATGATAAGACCCGTCAGGAATTTCACCCCCGCGGAACATCCGCCGTTTATAAGAAATGTTTTCCAAGTTTATGAGGGCGACGCAAAGTCCTGGTATGGGGCGGACCTGAAGCCTTCACTCTTCTTCCTTTTCTCTCTCCTTTTTTTATTTCTCTTTTTAAATAAAAGCAACGCCGATAGAGGAAAAGCGCCGTGTCGCAAAACTGACAATAAAATGACGTCGTCTTTGAAATATCGTCGAAAAATGCGATGAGAAATTTTCCACAAAAAATTTGCACTAACAATACAGCGTGCATCATAACTTTGTGTGCATCGTTAAATTCGCATTTAATTTTCCAAGTGATTCCAAATTAAATTTTTCAGCAGATTAGACAAGACATCGTGACAAATAATTATAATAATTTATATATCGTATAATTTGCACCTTATTTCATTAAACAGGATGTTTTAATAGTCTCCGCACAAAATAATATAATATGCCATTATTTATATTTTATGTTCTTCATAAGTTTTTTTTTTTTCAAATACAAATGATCTCGTGTTTTTTATATAACTATCGAAAATCTTAGTTGTTTTAGAAATTAGATGTCAAACTTTCTACATAAAATCAACGTTCAAAATGCGTAGTTTGTGAATGTAATAGTTGCGACGTCGACGCTTTCCATGACATTGCGAAACAAGAGCATCGTGCACGCTTATGATCTTGACTGTAACTCTACGGTTATAATTCTGAGTTGCTCCGGCTAACGCGATGTCCAATCTGAGCATTGTGACGTCATGAATTTAGACGCGGACTAGAATTAACTGTCTTCCGTATCAGACGATGCAACTCCAAACAATACACGCACGATAAATGCAACTCACGCGAGATGATACTACGTCGCCGTCGACGATCCCTTCAAATTGTGGTTTTATGTGATAGAAACGCTACACAACTTCCTTAATCTAACAAATTACTTGTTACACAAATAGAATAAACTTTACTAACTTTTATTTAAAGATGTTTTATAAAAGATAGAGAAAATTCGGTCAAATTAAACAATATCAGTGAATTTAAAATTCTAAACTTGAAGATTCGTTTAAAAATCTTTGGGCTTCCTTCTATATCTTTTCGTTCCTGACATATGAAAAAAACAAATAAAATTACTTAGCGACTAGCGACTATATACCTATACATCGGATGTGAAAACGGAAAGAGAAATTTATCTTTGTTTTATTTCGAATTACCCCTGTTAAGGATTAAAAATGGATAGATAGGTAGAAATAGAAGGGAACAGGAAGCCAACGAATTTAAGCCGAGAAAAGATTATAAATTTATAACTTTGCAAAATAAATTCCTATCGATTCCTTTTTAATTTACCTTGCACATGGACATATTTATATCTGGCTCGTGCTGAACGGCGCTCGACTGTGATGTCGACTCGACGTCCGACGACGCTGCAGATTTCTTGCAGGAGTCAGGTGCGGAGCGTCGGACGCGATGTGGTGCGTGTCGATGAACCTATACCCATCCTCCAGGTAAAGTCAGCAGACGCGGCCGAATGCAAAGTGCATCGTTGCATAACGCGGAATCGCGCGTGCGATGTTTCCTTCGCGACACGTGGAGAGACAGGAGACGAAAAAAATATATGTACATCTATAATATATAAATAAGTATGTGTAATGAGGCACGCATGTATTCTTCTTTTTTCTTTGCACTCGCGGTCAACAATTATTCTACAGCAGTAATTGTTGATCCGACGACGAAAACGATGAAAAGACAGCTTCCACTTTTGTCCATTGCACTGCTGCCATAGCGTTATTTCTACGCTTTTCAATTAGTTATCTTCGGCATCGCGGAACGACGCGACGCGACGTGCCGCGGGGCAGTTTTATGACTTTACGGCTATCGACGTTAAATAGAATTCGCGGCATACCGGCTGTGCCGTGCGTTACGCCCGGGTCGAAATAGCTCGAATAAGCGGTAGGGTATAAAGAGCGGGATAATTGTCAATTTCATCGCGAACGAGACTCCGCATGCCGCGCATTAAAATAAGATAAGCTCGCCGCGCCGCGCTGCGCGCTTCATTCTCTCCCTCGGCCCTCGGCCTCGGCCGTTTTCCTTTTTCCCAACCATTAAAGCCCTCCGCGCCCCGTTAGAAAACGCGCTGTCGGCGCCGGGCGCGGCGCG